CGACAGTTCCTTCTTGGTGTGACATGATATGAAGAACAGCTGGGTGTAATCTCAGGTGAGCAGCTAAGCACACTCAACATGCTTTATATTTTGGATGGGCAATGCGGGGCTCAGGGCCTCAGCCAAGTCACACTCACTCGCCTAACAAACTGAATTGCTAGTGTTGCCGAGTACAAAAAGAGTAAAAGTTTAACGCTCGCGAAACGGAACCGAAGTCCAGAAATTCATCTGGAGCGGCGAACTTTGTGAACTCGCGTTCCGATCGGAATGTTCTAGTTTTATGAGTAATGAGTTTAACGGTGCTGACAACACTGATTTTGCTAGTAAGTACATCAAGCTTTTAGTATACTTACCCGAAATAGTCACCTCGTGGCACAGCATCGGCATTCGGTGCGATCAATTTGGGGTTCAAAGTTGAGACTCTGGCGCCACATGCACTGACAAAGTTTCGATACATTAGTTTTCTGAATTCTAAATGGAAACATCCCTTCTAGGCGTGTGATATCAATGATTGACCGAGTAACGTCGTGAGGTATACTCGGACTGTGTCTCTGCAGGGTTTGAGGAAGCTCGGAAGAACTAAATAAGCTTTGACTGATAACGGTACTCATGAACCGAGAGTGATATGGTGTGAAGTCAGGAAGTGGTTCACGTGACCCAACTTGTAATTTTCTACGCGGTCCTGCCGTGGTCGTGACGCGGCGAGACTAACGTGGACTAGGACTAGCAGTAAGACCTAAACCGCTTACAATTGTTTCAGGGTCAGCAAGTCGGGTCCTTGAAATACGTTGATTTATTCCGATAGGCCCATCATTATGAGAACCGCAGGATGTGAGCCATTTATTCTTCAAATCAACGGAAATCAACTCCCCAGGTCTGGTGTCAATCAGCGTCATTGTCTGAGATGGAACGCATTGACGGGTCCATCGATATCGATACCATGTGCTCATTCCACGGACACTGAACTTTTCAGTGATTTCTGTCGACGATCTCAGGTGTAAGCTTGGGCGTTGGTCCGAATTTCAACCACAAGTAGTACGAATTCATGCTCAGTTAATTAGATATATTCATCGTCCTTACTACTTGAATCTATGTACCACGAACAAAAAGAGTTGCACAGCCACAGACCTTCGAAGTTCTGAGTGACTTAGTCTCATCGTGACCTCATAGAGGAAGGAAAATAATCGTTTCAGAATCCTTGGTTAATCTCAGAGAAGGAGCCCTCACTTTCTTTCAGGCCATGAAGGTCGAATTTTGCCACTGGTCATAGTAATTATCCACTAACTCATTCTAATAGATTGCAGTGGAGGGATGCAGCCATGGCGCACTGAACGCGATCTACCAGCACCTACGTGACCTAGAGGCCAGGCACAACTATATTGTGGATTTACTTCTTATGTGCGGGGACTTTCAAGCTATTCGCAATCACAGAGACATGCAATGCATGGCTGTCCCGCAGAAGTATAGGCAGCTAGGTGATTTCCACAAGTACGTGCCAATACCTAGTTGACATAAACATGCATTGATACACTTTTCTCTAGATACTATACAGGAGAAAAGACTGCTCCGGTGCTTACCATCGTAATAGGCGGGAATCACGAGGCATCGAATTACATGTCAGAACTGTATGCATCCGCTCCGCGCGCTACCTATAAGGATATACTTATTTACTCTCACAGGTATCATGGCGGGTGGCTTGCACCAAACATATACTTCCTCGGGCATGCCGGATGCATCCAAGTGAATGGTATCCGTATTGCTGGTGCGTCTGGAATTTTCAAAAGTAATGATTTCAGTCTAGGTGATTCTCCAATCATGTTCTCGGATACTCCACATTAAACACATGCAGGTTTTTACGAAAGATTACCTTACTGATCATGGCACCATGCGAAGCATATATCACATCAGGGAATTTAATGTTCGTCGTCTGTCCTTGGTGCGTGAATTTTAGTCTTTGTGAGTTCTTGATCTCACATTGGATACATCACAGTTATCCTCCCTGGATATCTTCCTTTCTCATGATTGGCCCCAATACATCGAGCGACATGGTGATACTCAGGGCCTCCTTTGCCGCAAACCATTTTTTAGACAGGATGTACAGACGGGCAACCTGGGTTCCCCTCCTTTAATGGGGCTCTTGCGGACGCTGAAACCAAAATGGTGGTTTTCAGCGCACTTGCATGTTCGCTTTCAGGCTACCGTACAGCATGAACAAACCGGTACTGGATCAAATTCTCTGCCCATGACTTCGCCACCACAAAACCCAGATGAAATAGCAATTGCAGATGATGATTTCGATGCAGTTGAATCTCAGAATCCTCCAATTGAATATTCTCGTTTGCAAACGACTTCTCACAATCCTGATCAAATAACCCTAGAAGAGGAAGTTACACAATTGCCTCCCATTGCTTGTCGGCCACAGCCATCTATGACAAACTTCCTCGCATTGGATAAATGCCTTCCAAACCGAGAATTTATGGAGGTATGTGGCTTTGTGTCGATAGGGCATGGTTCTGATAATTTCTAATATAGGTCATCGATGTGCCTACCACATCGGATGAATCTACCATGCCTGGACAACGCTGTGTGCCGAAGTTAACCTTCGATCCGGAATGGCTGGCAATATCACGCGCTTTTCACCCATTCTTCTCCACGAGGCGGCGTCAAGCAGATTATCCCAATGAAGCAACAGCTCGTGCGATGGTTGCCGAAGAGATGGAATGGGTCAAGTCCAATGTGCGCAATAACGAAGTAGACTCTTCCGGTGTCCCTCTACCTGGCATCCGAACCATTTTGGATTGCCAGACATTCGTGCAGAGCGCCCCTGGTCCTGGAAGTGAAGGAGCTCAAAAGAATCAACAACGTGAGAGTACTGATTCCTTGAGATATATTAACTGACATTGGTTATGCAGCACCTTGGTACACTAATCCTCAGACTACCGTTTTTTGCGATATGCTTGACATTCAAAACGTGATTGATTTCTCTTCGGACAATCGGGCCTAAGAAGCTTTCCCGATGACAAGTGCATATCTCACGTTCAGATCACTCATGCTTTCTACGTGTTTTCCGAACTGCACGTTCATGTATATGTAGCTTGCTTGCGCTCGTTTGCCCCTCCCTTGTATCAGTACTGGGACTTGGTTTGCATTGAGATTGTGTGACTAAGCTTCCAAATATGGTGTAATTACAGTGACCGTCACGCTGTGACAGGAGGGGGGGGACGCCTCTGAGGTTTCTCCGGGTGTATGTGCTATATTCTAGTTTTGCACACCTCTTGTCAACAGGCGTCCATAATATACTTTCCCAAACACAATTGTAATTCATTATTCGACTTTCAATTGACATTTTCTTTCAATCCTTGATCTTCTGCGCGCTGGGCTGTGTTTCCCTGTAATTGACGAAAACCTGTTGGAATTTGTCAGGACTCGTCTAAATCTCGTTGAGAATAACACAAGGACGAGGAGTTCATTAGCCTTCCTAGTGACTGAATTGCAAGTGTGTTTGTGTTTACAACGACAATCCGCCAGATCCACTTATACCTTCGTCTAAAGTCCCTTGCTAGCGAGTCTAGGAGAAAGCATCCAGAAATACGCGAGGTACGGCGGAAAGTGCTCATCCCATGTACTGGCGTCTTACTATGTCCACGCAAAGGCAACAGAGAAGTCGCTTGCGATACTTAGGTCCTCTCTGGAGCAAGCGGCAGCATCTTTGGCATCTGGTACGTGATTCCATTCAAACGTGCCTCGCTTTCTTCATCGTTCACCCACAGACAGCGCACAGTCAGATGATCTTCTCCGTCCAGTGTTCAAGGGGTGTGCGACCAAAAACGCGAAAGTCGTCGCCATCTCGTTGGGATCGCTGCAGCGCTTGATAGCCCTCAAGGCTGTACCACAGTCTGTTGTTCCACTCATCGTAAGCACGATGAACGATGCCATGAGCCAAGACGTGGACATTCAACTTCGGATCCTGCAAACCTTAGTCTCTTTGATCACTAATTCTCTTTCGATACACGATGAGCTCCTGGAAGAGGTACATTCTGTCTATACTACCTGCTACCTATCTGATTACCTTCACTGGAGGGTCACCTACATCTAGTTCTCCGGTGCGTCAATCAATTTCTTTATCTTTTTTTTGTTCAGTTCTTGGTTCAGGCCCTTCTTGAACCGGAACAGGATTATTATCAGACTGAACTGATGGTTCGGTCGACGGGTTTGCTTGTTGGGAGACCTTGGCCAGCCCCATCCATCACTACCGCTGAGTCGTTTACATTTTTCGAGTGTTCTTTGTCATGTCTCCATGCTGCCTAACTTCGTAGAGCCATAACCATCCAATATAATCTTTGCGTGGTATCCACGATCCCGATAGCCCATCTGTCCCTCATCCATATTAATACCCGGCCTCAGGATTATTTTATCGGCGACATGAACATTTGCTGTTTAATCTCTCGTGCCCTACTGCCACCTCTTGGTATCTTTTTTAGTAATAATTACGGACTTTTATTGCCTATACCTTGCTACCCTGACCAAACTCTTTCCGCTGTGATACTAAGTTTTGGAACACGTCACTTGTGGGCTGTGTTACATGCACTTTGCTATGTTGTATTGTGTACTCCGTTGTTGTGTATCGCGCACCCTATGTTGTATCGCGCACTGAGTAGTGTGTCATGCAAATATTAAAGTTGGCTTTGGAGCGTGATACTTCAGCAACTCAAACAGAATAGTGTTCGAGATACAACCATCATTATATACATGTACACACGTAGCAGATCACGAATATGACCCTTACGATCAGCAGAAGACACATACATAGAATGCGCACGCACGAGCTGGGAGGCCAAAAAGTCAAATGCAATGAACTACTATACATGCAGGACATCATATGATAAGAATACTATATACATATCAACTTACGTGGAGGTTGCCACTACTGTTGCCACTACTGTTGCCGCATGTTGATACAGAGATATAATTATGAAATGTGTTGTTACTGCAATGTTGGCTTAGACGTCCCCTTCCTGCGATTGCAATGACCACAAGGTTTGTTCCGCCTCGAATTCCTTCCACTTCCAGTCGTCCAACTCCTCACCCAATGCTTTTAATAACGACAGAAATTGTTCGAATCTAGCTTGAGCAGCCACTCGGCCACCACGAACAATGTGATGCGTGCTCTTTGCTAACTTTAATAGTGACTTCCGGTCAGAACTGCAGAAGTCGACCATGGAGTACTGCAAGTAATATATAGTGAGCAGTTTCTCAGCAGCCAATAGAGTCCAGACTTACCATGTGATGGAAATATTCATTGTTTGCAACCTCTATGCCATACTGCCTCATTGGACTGCCCGCGCTCCCTGCACTGTGCCCACTGGTTGGACTACCTGTGCGTCTTAAAAGGGAGGCCCTCGGTAGACCCGTTGATGTCTGAGATTGGAGGGACATTTGAATTATACTGGGGGATCTTGAAGGTGAGCGCACATCAGGTGATACTATGATGGGGGATGAGAGAGCAGGCGTGGACATTTGGAGATGTGATCCCTCTGGACGAGCGCAAAATCCGGTAACTAGGACCGTGGTTGCATCCAAGGAGATTTCAGTACAAATTTGTAGCGGAGATTTTAAGATACATACGGCATGCACCAAGAGCTGAGTTGGCTCCGCTCCTTCAAGGAGCGATTTTGATTGGCTAACTGTGCTATAGATATCGGCCAATTAGAACTCTTCACTGCTCTTCACAAATGATTACCTGAAGGTGCGGAAAAGATCCGGCACGATATACTCAGTCTGGGTTTAGCTCAAGGGTTGCTGAAGGTGAGTAGGAAATGACGCCCGGTCTATTGACAGGCTTAAATACCTTCACTTTTGGGAGAAACGACACTGCTCATAATCATGTCACCATACTTCAAGTTTCAGGGCCGCTGCTATAGCCACGACTCTCACATGTCTGACCGTAATGACGCAGCTGAAGCGATCTTGCTCGGTGTCAGTGCCAGTAACTCTACTACGGACAACTTGAACGCGCCGGAGGACGTCTTTGCAGGAGTCGCTTTCAGTGACGACTACATTTGCACTCCTGGGGCGGAGAATTTGGCATATGGCCGAGCTGCTCCAGATGTAGACCGTGCCATGAAGCTTGTGGAGCAGTTCGAAGAGGAATACCAGCAACTGAAAAAAGTAAGTGCATATTCTGTCCGCCGTAGCACCAAACATACCTCGTTGCGGTTTTTCAGAACGTTGAGGATTGGAATGCTCGAGTTAAAGATACCACTAAGATTTTGCCCATTCTGAAGAAAAGGCAAATTGCATTGGACATCGTGAGTAATGTTGCATATCCTTCTACAAATCATTTATTTTTGACAGACACCCTGCAAGTCTGGGCACAACAGGACCAACTCTCCTGAATGCGCTTCTGCTACAGGTTCTATTGCGCCAAAGAAGCGCAGACGGCTACAGACACCGTTTGAGTTCAGTCCACGCCCAACCCGGTCCAAGACCATCATTCAGGCAATATCTAGCATCGAGGGTGCTATTGAAAGACAGACGTTGGTGCTGTCTAGGATCTGTGAAGCTTTAGGCGACGGTCACTGAATTTTCGACTGGTGGTTACTATACCTGAGTTGATACATTTGTATTTGGTCTTTACTGTTGACAAGTGCTCCGATCACCTCCGGATGGAATTCTTAGAGTTGGACCAACTGAGTTGACGGAGGGTACCATTTCCAACTTCGACGTTGTCCCCACTGTCACAGACAAACCTGCTAGTGCATCGACCGGTCTATTTCCTATGGAGGTCCCATCATTTGTCTGAGACTGCTGGTATTGTCGACACCGGCACGACTCGTTCTCATCGCCTTCAGTAGGATAAGTCACTCATAAATGCAACGTCCAACACTGACTTGGAGCCTGAGAATGTTAGATGCGTCTCCCAGTACAGTACTCCTGCGAGAATACAACGGTCGTGACGGATTCGTGCTGCAATGTCGTGCAAGGCGGGCTCGTGCTACGGGCGCAGACTGGAACACATATACAGCCCCAGCAAACCACAAGACTACTGAGCTCACAGGCTGCGAGTCTAGATGCTGTTGACGTGAGTGCATTCCTTCTTAAAGACACGAACTCGATGTGCACTACCTTGTCGTTACGATGTCTCATACAAAACATATACAGGTCATTCCCCTCGTACCTCCAGATTGGCCACTTGGTTCCCTTTCTCCTTTCCTGACTCACTCATTCCGACGTACACTCCACGCTAAGCATGAGGGGGCATTATTTCCCTACTATCAGTGTCGTACGTACATGAAGAACTCGTCTTCCCGGTCCCTTTCTTACCAATCATCGATAAATGACAGCCCCCGGAAGCCGCTTGCTCCACTAGCAAACAACTCTTACAGTTTTTAGAGGTCACGCAGAGGGATATTGGTAGGCTTCCTTTGTATGTAATTGTCAGTCTCGCATGGTATTGACGGTGGCCTGATGTGGTCGATTCATGTGCGGCGAATCTAGATTATTCGTGCACAAAGGCAGAGATGCACGCCTCCCGATATGTGTATCTTATCAGCGTCGAGAAAGGTATTTTGTTCGTATCCACTTCGTCGCTTCTGCACAATGCCCCTTTTGTCATCTAGATTCTAGGTGCATCTGCCGAATTGCCTCCGACCCCACTTTGCAATCACACTTCTCTCTTCACATTACGAATATCTTACTGGTGAGTCACGTTCATTCTGGGCTAATTGCTGTGCTGCTTGACAACACAGCATACAGGCCTCACACGCAAGTGTCTTGCCTTCACATATTCATTCGGATATCACATGCTTCAGATTTTGGAAATATTCAGTCTGGTCATCACATAAAAAGGGATCGTGCTGTCAAGGGTTCCCCATCCTCTGCGCCCTCCACTTCTCTAACTTTCTCCATGGCTATAGAATCCTCCTCTGACCACGATGATGCTGCTGCTGTCGTTCGTGCTAAACGACGTATTGCGGCTCTGGAACAGGAGGTTGAGGTTCTCAGGGCCAGTAACAAGCGGGTCAAGCCGTACGTTTTTGGCCTCTTTTTGACTTGATACTCTCATTCCAAATGTGCACAGGCAAATCGACTCTAACGTACACAAAGGACGAGCCATCCGTCGGCTTGTGTCCTTGTTTGATGGACTCGAGGACCTCATAGCTGAAAACGACCGACGTGAAGAGTTGCTGGACTCATTGGATTTGCCAGATCAGCTTGTTTCTACTCAAGAGTGAGTGCTTCTCTCTGTTTGGCCCGTAACTCCCTTAACTTTGACCAGCGAGGACAGGACCATCAGATCGTTCAATGAACTACTTCGTTGCCTTCCCTGGCTCAAAAAAAAACTTTCGTCGGATGTTGATGAACTTGATTACATTTTGAGAGATGTAAGTTCTTACTTCGGGAATTATTTCTGTATCGCTGATCCTATGTTGTTAGCTGCGTAAGGGCGCGGACAGCGCCCGAGGGGATGATACCGCCAATCTCAAACATGTGATTGTCGCGTGGCTCACTGAACTTTTTCATCCCCTGGACCCGCCCCTTCACACGAATATCAAAGACGATCGCGGGTTCATCCATCACATCACTGGCAAGCTCTTGTGTCCCGTAGAGTATACTTGGTCTCTCAATTTGTAAGTGCCATCTGCACGTGGTAGTATTAATGTATTCACTGCCGCAATAGGACTAAGGAAAAAATCAGGGACAGGGACCCTGACTTTCTTGTCACAGCATACTCTTGGCCAGCAATGTTATACCTGGATTACACTTTTGACTCTGGCAACATCGAAAAGGGACTGTTTCGTTCGGCTCTGCTCCTCAAGGTAAGTCGTGCTATTTCAAATGGCCAACACTGCTTATTTGAAACAAAGGCCTTCAAACATATATTCACATCTCCATCTTCTGCCAAAGAAGTTGATGGTGATGGTGATGGTGCTGACGCTATTGTAGCCTCTCAACGCCGCCGGTCCTCTGAGAGCGACATGACTACTCGTAGTCACGTGGCAAATATTATCGGCATGAAGTCGGTTACCCCACGATCCATCGCCTACACCGCTTGTCAGGTTCGTGTGAGCGCCTTCACGTATTTTTTTTACCTTCAGGGCTAACTTTTACTTATAGCTTCGGTTCTCCCTCTCCAACGTCAATTCCTGGCGGAGTATTGACGGAGACTTCGACTACTACGTGTTCTACAACAACATTGTTGATTTTTTCGAAGTCGCACCTGGCATTGACGCACAAGCCCGCATCAAGGAGTTGCTAAAGTGGTGGAACAGGTAATATTCTCATTTTTTCACGCCCCAACTGGTCTCATTCCTTACAGGAAGGTTTTTGGAAAGACTCGGGCTATACCTCTTACACCAGCGCAGCTTGGGAGGTTCTCCGTGTCTAGGATGACTTCGCAGAGGGCTGTTCATGAGGGAGGTTCTCCTTAAGGCTGGACTGCGCAACTATATAAAATTCTTAGACTGTAGACAGATTGGTTCCAGAATATATATTCTTTATTTGTTCAAATCAGCCGATTCTCAATACTAAGCTACATGTTTCAATTTCATTGGTAGGATATAAACGAGGCAACGCGCACGACGCGCCCATAACGAGGCAACGCGCACGACGCACCAATGACGAGGCAACGCGCACAACGCGCCAATGACGAGGCAATGCGCACGACGCGCCCATAACGAGGCAACGCGCACGACGCGCCCATGACGAGGCAACACGCACGACGCGCCCATAACGAGGCAACGCGCACGACGTGCCAATGACGAGGCAACGCGCACGACGCGCCCATAACGAGGCAACGCGCACGACACGCCCATAACGAGGCAACGCGCCCATGACGGGTCAAACCTGGCAGTACCCTAACTGATAGGAACATATTCCATTTAGAAGCAGAAATGTAGAAATATAACAAAAATAATTCATCGAGTTGACGTAGTTTCATTCATGGACAGCTTTACCTAGAATGGTCATCGACTGCGGCTCAAACTGACTTTGTGTACCCTGAAAAAAGTTGTATGTTGTTCCCGATCCTCGACCATATTGCTGATGCTGGCGAGATGTCGACTGTAGATAGATTTATCATCCATAAATGCACATGTCTACTGTCCAGTGGAATTAGTCCCTCGCCGAGAGAGGTAAGACATGATGCTCTCGTAAAGACTGAGCTTTGCAACCAAGTGCTATTGCGTCTTCGATGGCAAAATTTATACTAACTGTGACCCCAGAATCAACTTGCTCATTCTGATGGCAAAGTACAATGCCTCAACAAAACTCGTGATACCTTACGTATTTTCCTAATCACTGCACAACTCTCACGTACAAAGTCATAAAGACTCAGTGATATATTCTCCGCATAAAGGGTGATGGATTACAGTTCACCCTAATTAATTGTAATACTTCCTATGTTAAGATAATACAGGAGAAATATTAGTGTCCAGCACCGCTGTACTCTGAATGTGTAGCTTTAGGAAAGGAGGGTTCCTGTACATTCCAGTGCATGGGCTGATAGTTCAACTTGTCTATATTACACTGATTACGGACATTACAAGCATTATCGGGGTATATATTCCATGATCCAATTTTTCACGGTACAATGATGGACGTGTTGCCCTTGGTGCATCTGATACATCGGAAGCTGATGCACTTGAATCCTCAGACCCCACGTATGTGCACACTTCATACGTGAACAGGAACTGACTTTTTATTGTTAGAGAGAACAGACGGTACCAAACATACAAGAAGCTCCTAGTATGGTGCCCTTCAGTGCGAAAGCTCGTACAATCCTCGGCCGACAGCTTTGAACTGGCCGAATTATATAGCAAGGTGTGAGACCTTACAACAACAGCGCGCTCATTAACTCTTAGATTTCATTAGCTTAATCGTGGTGCTGATGCCGCAAGAGCAGATGACACTACGAGCCTCAAGTTTATCATCGCTGTGTGGTTGATGCAGATGGTACCGACTCCAAAACCCTCCATTCAGTGTCGAGACAAATCTGGTCGTGGGTTCTACCATGACGTGACAGGGAGATTACTATGCCCTGTTGATTACAACTGGAATGATGCTACATGAGTATTCATTGTATCAAGGGTGCAACTTGTTAATTATATACAGTGTCCGAGAGGCCATTCGCTCTTACCATCCTGACTATCGTGTAACGTCATACTCTTGGCCATCATTTCTATACAAGGATGGACAATACGACGCAATCAATCCTACAAAAGGATTCCTCAAAGGTGAACTCCTTCTGAAGGTACGTACTAATCAGAGGATCCTATGTTTGATGCCCACAGTACTGACAACAGATCACAGGCGGTCAAACATATATTTACATCTCCTACTTCAGCGGAAGAAGACCCAGAAACGTCACAACCTGACACTAGCGCCGAGACACCTTCACAAGTCCATCTTCCTAAACGTCAGAGGACTGCAGGAGAGAGGCGCACACGGTGTGATGTTGCAGGCCTCCTGCAAATGAAATCGATGCAGCCTAGAGCTCTTGCATATGCGGCCGTTCAGGTAGGACATAGCTCACATAATGATCACTTGCTAATGACAGAATGGATTTAGCTACGTTTTGCATTGTCCAGTGCAGGCGCATGGCGGATTATTGATGATGACTTCGACCACAATGAATTCTATCACAACATTGTCGATTATTTCGAACTTCCTTCTTCACCGGATGCAGCACAAGATGTAGAAAACCTCTTGTTATGGTGGAACCGGTGAGTATCACAGCCGATCAGTCTACCTCACCAACTCAGTGACATTGATGCTTTTCAGCCAAGTGTTTGGCCGCAGGAATGTGTCGCATTACCGACCTCAGAAGACCAGCACAATGTCAGTTGCCATGACTGCTCGACGTGCCTAACGAGAACCTTCTTTAAGACATTATGTACAACACTGTTTAATAGTTGTATTTGTACTGATAAAACAATCATGTAAAATTTTAATGCCACCACATTTTTCATGGACGCATTATTATGTATATGTTCTGAGGGTTTGGAACTACATTATGCCTGTGTAAGATTCACCCCATATTTATGGCAAACTGGCAAAACTACATTTTATGAACTAGTGCGGTACGAGACTCTTTGCTGCAAAGATCCGCATAATGATTCCTCTATTCATTTTGCAGAATTATCTAATTAGATGTTACATACGATCCAATGAGATTTGCAATATATGAACTACCATATAGTCTTTCTGTGTAACATTTTAGCCGATACTCATATGATGTCTGAACTTAAGGATTTGAAGTCTCATGATATGTGTATCAACTTCGCTCCCTATAATGTGGCAAACTTCCGAAACTATATTTTTTGAACTAGTACAGTACAAGACTATCTACTGCAAATATCTACACAATGATTTATCTATTTACTCTGTGGAATTTTCTAGCTTGATTTTACATGCTGTTGAGTGACGTGCAAAATATGCAACTGGCAGTACAAAGGAAGTTGGTGACATATGATCCGATGTTCACATGGTGGCCTCAGCTGGAAAATATACAGCTGTATTTGACTGGTGAAGACTTGGTCCAGTCTATGTCACAAACTTCATGAGACTATAGTTTTGAAACTTGTGCAGTACCAGACTCTTTTTTACATAACCGAAAAATGAGAAACACTTGGTCTACATATCTTGATAAATATTGATGATGGAATATTGCACAATTATCACCGGTAAGACTCATACATCTCTTGGAGTAGCAAGTTGTGAGAGATTGCACAAAGCTGGCTTATGGTGCTTTGGTGATAAACCAATATAATACACTGAATATATGAGGATGTCCGCACTTTTGATGCTTAATGCTAGTGTAGCTAAGTCTATGCAAACATGCTTCAAATTGGTCAATGAGGATACCCATATATGTATATACACGACCATATATAACCAACTATCATATTGTGACGGATTACGGTTATTGTCTACATTATATTGTCAAGATATGGGTTTATATTACATCTTGAATTTCAGTGATGATTTTGACGCGGTCCTGCCGCGCCTGCCGCGGTCGTGACGCGGTCGTGACGCGGCGTGACGCGCATGTGACGCGGCACTGACGAGCCTTGACGCGGCCACTGACACGCCATTCCTATATTCTATATTCAACTTCCAGATCAAGTTGGATGAGTTCACGACCATTCCTTTGTTATTTTATTTGCCTCAGAGCCATGTACAACTAGGTATACATAAGCCAATGACTATTTATTGAGAGTATAGCGAGACGGTCACGCGCAGCTAGACACAAAGGTACGAATATCTCAGTATTCGAGTTGAAACTCAGATTAACAAACGTTGTACCTAGACACAAAGGTACGAATCTAATATAACGTTAGACCTCGAGTCGAACGTTACGAAAATACTAACTTACATCTCAGTATTCGAGTTGAAACTGAGATGTTTGGATGCGGGTACCTGGGCTTATAAGGTGAGTCTCCCAGGTACAGTAATTTACGCTAAGCTAAACTAAAAGATGGACAGCGCACGAGTTGGCCACGACACGTCGACCTCATTCTCCGTTTGGATGCGCTCGCACTTGGTGTCCTCTCCTCTGGCTCTATTCTTCGGCCGGTTGGTCCATCTCCCTCTCGGCTCTTCCTCCTTCGGCCTTCTCTCCTTCGGATTCGTCGGATCTCAACACTCCCCCTCGAGCGTTATCCAAACGCATCATCCCTCTCAACCTTTGGAGTCTGGGACGCGGCAAGGCCTTGGTGAACGCGTCGGCCACGTTGTCCTCGGTGGGGCAGTAGAGCAGCTTGAAGACACCGTTCTTGACGTGCCCACGGATGAAGTGGTATCGTAAGTCGATATGCTTCGTTCTCGAGTGGAACTTTCCATTTGACGCTAACGCAATGGCAGCTTGATTGTTGCAATAGATGGACGTTGGGAGGCTTGGGGCTTCGTAGAGTTCGCCGAGGAGTAGCTGTAGGAAGAGGAGTTCGCGCACCACACTGGTGAGTGCGATGTATTCAGCCTCTGCCGTCGACAGTGCTATTAACGGCTGCTTCCGTGCACTCCAGGCTATGGGTGCACCGTTGAACATCACGACGTACCCCGACATCGAGTGCCTGTGTGGCTGCGATGCCCAATCGGCGTCGATGAATGCCTCTAGCCCGGCATCTGTGGCTCCCAAGGTCAGTTCCATCCCATCTGTCGCCTTCAGATAACGAAGAGCCCGTTTGGCAGCTTCCCAATGGGGTCTGCCGGGGTTCCTCATGAATTGCGACAATGTCGTGACTGCGAACGCAATGTCCGGCCGGGTGCTGGTGGCCGCGTACATCAGGGACCCAATGGCCCTCTGATAAGGTACGTCGCGCATATCTTGGATTTCGGCGTGGGTCGCGGGGCCTTGCTCTACTGACAGGGTCGTTGTAGCCTCCATTGGGGTCTGTACACTCTTGGCCTCGCCCAAACGAAAATGTTCGATGATGGTCGCGATGTACGCCTTTTTGGACAGGGTAATGGTACGTGCCACTCTATCCCTCGTTACCTTCAGCCCTAACAGCCACTTCAACTCTCCCAGGTCCGATATTTCGAAGTACTGCTGGAGTTCGGCCTTGAAGCGGTGGATATGGCCCACGTCGTTCGACGTCACGGCCATGTCGTCCACGGACACTGTAATGACAGTATGCTGGTTGGAGGTACATTTGTAGTACACTGCTTGATCGACTTTGGACCTGCTGAATCCCAACGTTAGGAATACACCCGATAGTTCTTCGGCCCACTCGAATCCTGCCTGCTTCAGGCCAGGCAAACTCCTCCTCAATCTCAGCACCTTTCCACGCTGGTCCTCCTTCAAGTAGCCGGGTGGTGCACGCATATATATTTCCTCCTGGATGCTGGCGTATAGGTAAGCACTTTTAATATCTACCTGGTGTATTTCCCAGTTTCGCTGAGCCGCCATTGCTAGGACCATCCGGATCGTTATCATGCTGGCAGTGGGGGCGAAAATCTCGAAGTAGTTGACGCCGAGCTTCTGCCTCTGCCCGTTAGCCACGAGTCGGGCCCGCAACTTCAGCTTCTCGCCGTCCGGTCCGCGTTTGGTGGCCAGGACGTAATGGCACGGTATGACGTTGGCGCCTCGAGGTGGGTCCACTACCTCCCACGTACCTAGCTTCTCCAACTGACTTATCTCATAGTCCACCGCCTCTTGCCATTCAACGGCATCAGGACCGTTTAGGGCCTGTTGGAGTGTGGGTTCCGGCTCTGCGGCGGCCAAGGCAAGGTGAAGATAATTTTCTTCATCCATTAGGTCTACCTCTGACGCCTCTAACAGATTCTCCATTGTTAGGGCAGCCGTCTGACCCTCGTTTAGGGCCGCATAGTATCCGGGGGGTGGTCTTGCCCTTGTCGACCTCGTTGGAGGAGTAGATGGCTGAGGTTGCTCAGGAGTAGATGGCTGAGGTTGCTGGGCGGTAGATGGTTGAGGTTGCTGAGGAGTAGATGGCTGAGGTTGCTGTGGCCTGGTGATGGGCTGGACGCTATTAGGTGAGTTATTATTACCGTTGCCGCTGTTATGTTCGTTTACAGCAGTAGACTCCCCCTCGTCCAGCATACCATCGGCTGCCAGGATCGGCGCGAAGGTGACATTCCTTTTGACCGTCACTCGATGCCTACCGGGCCAATATACCCGGTATCCCTTACTCTCAGCGTCTACCCCCACAAAGACTGCCTCCTCTGCTCTCGCCTCCAGCTTGCCAGCCTCCAGGGCATGGACGAAAACTGTTGCCCCAAACTCGTGGGCTCGCGACAAGTCCGGTTTGGACTTGCGCACCATCTCGTAGGGCGTGCTACCTGGGATGGCTCTCGAAGGTAAGCGGTTCTTGAGCCATGTTGCATAACTAACGGCCTCGGCCCACAGATACTTTGGCATGTCTTTGCCCAGGAGCATCGCTCTCGCATGCTCGACCAGGGTGCGATTGAGTCGTTCGGCGACACCATTCTGTTGCGGTGAGTCGTGCACCGTTAGTTGTCGTTCGATGCCTTGCTGACGCAAGTATTGGTCGAACTCAGTGCTCAGATACTCCCCTCCTCTGTCCGAACAGACTTTGCGCACGCGCACACCTGGCGACTGCCGGGTCACCCACGCCTCGTAGGACTTGAATGCTGTAAGTGCGTCACTCTTTTGCTTGAGGAATTCCAGTCGTGTTTGGCGGCTGAAGTCGTCCGTAAAACTGACATAATATTTGCAGCCACCCAAACTCGTCGTCTGGGCCGGTCCCCAGAGGTCCGTATGGACTAGATCCCCATAGGTGAGTGCGCGCGTTTTCGTCTCTTTGGGAAAGGATTTCTGCGCTGACTTAGCTTTCATGCAGGTATCGCAGAATTCGGCTTTGGATTCCGGGTCTAGGTCCACGCCCACTATCATCCCCTTCCTCACAGCATCCGCCAATGTGTTTTGGCCAACGTGGCCCAGCCTACGATGTAGCTGGCCAAGGGTAAGCTTTTCTTTTGCTACGTTTGCGTGGTGACCCTGACGCGCTTTCGTCCCAACAGTGTACAGTCCTTCCACCTGCGGGATCTCCGCGATGACGTCCCTTTGGGGTGCACGCGAGAGAATCTTGCACATTTTCCCTTTGAAAAGGACAGCCAAACCGGCGGAGGCGATACGATTCGTGGAGATCAGTGTGAACGCCATAGCGGGGGCGTATAGGGCGTCCTTCAAGGTGACACTCGTTCTCTTTGACCCCAATGGTAAGTCTATTCTTACATCACCACGACCTGTAGCACTGACAATCGATCCGTTGGCAGTATACACCTTTTGGGGGTTTATTTCGACGAAATTTTGGAACTTGGACCTGTCGGGACAGAAGTGCGACGTCGCGCCGGAGTCGACTATTGCTCCACGGCGTGCGGCAGGTATGT